TCATAACTCCCCACCACACAATCTATTTACACATAACACATACATGCACACAAAGAGCAGTGATACATGCTAACTCACAAATCCATGTCTTTATAAAAAAACTGCACAACGTTTGTGCATGAAGTCAACATAAAGTTTTATTCATGAGAATTTAACCATTCAAAATGGCAAGAAGTGGGTTTTTTATAGCTTGTTGGGAGGAAAGTGAGTGTCAATGCAGTGTAATAGGGTTTGTCAGAACATGCCCTCCCAAGTCCTGAACCATCGGACTGCATAGAAAAATCCCTCTAACACATCTGTCTCTGTTGTAGTCTGGATCCACGGCTCCTCATTTCACTGTCACTCGTGTCTGCACACGTAAAGATAAGTCCACTTTTCATTGGGAGTTCATCGCCGCCGCTCTGTCATTTCTTCAGGCATGTGCAATTGTAATGACCCTGCTTATCTTTTCTCTTTGCACATACTTGAAATCTAAATTCCATCTTCTCTCCTGCTCTCAGCTGTCAAAACCCAGGAAGAGTCATCTTGAAGGTAACACTTATGTTGTGACCTGAAAGTGAGAGCAATGCTTGCAAACATTTGTCATGGAAAAGTATGAGAGTTGTGACCTGCCTCCCGCCTGCAAGGGGAAGAATACTGGGTGCTGTGTCTTTCCAAAATGGACTGTCAGGTAGCATGAACTATTTCACCTGATGACAGGAAGGTGGAAAAGTGAAACAAACACCATGTTTCAACTGTGAAGAAAAATCTACCTGCAGAGAGTTTGTTGTACATCAGTTTGGTTTTAGTATTAAAACAAACAAAATCATGCATGAATATAAACACAATATGGGTAAAACAATCCAAAAATGTATTCCTTAAAAGTAGGTGCTGAGTTCCAGGGTGAAGAAATGACCATTGTTTTTAAGGCTCTCAGCTTTTCAATTGTGCTCCAAAGTAAGGCAAAGACTGTAGAGATGGATGACATAATGGTGCCCCAGAAGTGAAGCCAAACTATCTCAGTACCTACAGCCATCTAGAAAACTTATTTGCAACCTAATGTAAAGAGTCCTACACAAAAATACATTTTTCCACAGCACAAAAAATAGCATGAAACTCTCCTGTCAAGACTTACAGTATTTATTTAAATATATTACTTATATTTTATGTATGTCATTCTTTTTAATCCAGTGTGTTTCTTCACCTGCTCTGTCTGCAGATTTTTGCAGTTTGTTCATTGTCTCTAATGTGGCTTGTTTACAGACTTACCTAAAGCTACACTAACTGTTTATATGTTAATCCAGTTAGTTTTCAGAAAATCGTTATAAACACTCACTATAGACTATCTTCATCCACAGCCTATGAAGCACACACACAAAACTAGACCCAGCTCATCAGCGAATAGTGTTGGAGGACCTCTAGTGGACAAATGAGGAATGGCAGGTCATGACCAGCGCCAGAGAGCAAAGACAAACAGCTGGGAGAATGAAACTGCTGGAACAAGGCACACAGACCAGCTGGCCCCCTTTTAGTCTGTTTGAGCCAATAAAATGTTGCATACACATTGATGCATCACTATTAACAATCTAATAATCTCTTAAATAAATGTAACAGCGACGGGCAACATTTTGTTGTGCTGTATTATGTTAAGACAGTGGTTCCCAACATAAGGGTCAGGCCCCCTGAGGGTTCGTCCTAGATTTTATGTTCTATTATTACAGTAAAAATGGAGTAAACATTGGTTTGTTTTAAAAGGTCTCAAGCAAAAAAAGTTGGAACCCACTGTTTAGGCTATTAGAGAAAGTCTTTCAATCCAGAATATGGACACATGCAAGTAGCATTGCTGCAAGTTAACTCCTACTGGAGTAATACTCCCCAGGAATTTTTATATAGCTAGATAGAAACAAGAACCAAGACATTACTATGTCATAAATCATATTTTATTGTCTTTGTTCTCATGATTTTACAAATAGGATACTTCTGCAATTCAACTTTAACTGTGCAACACAATGGCATTATGGACTGTTGAACTCGACATCCTGAGGGATGTCTGACTTCAGGGAGCTGTGAATCCTGCAGATTGGGAATTTTTTTTTTTTGTCAAACTGTGGGTGTTTTTAGCATTCAGTGTTGTGTTACATTATTCATCAGCTTGTCTGGGTTCCTCAGCTGCAGAATTCACTAGCACCTTACACACACACACACGATTTCTCACCACTGTCGTAATGACGGCTACTGTGGTGGGGAGGAAACGCATCCCTCTCCTCCCCCCACAGGTCAGAAGGTGAAAGTTGTGAAGTTGTACAGTCTCTTTGGATGAGGCTGGTGGTACCTGGTCAGAGCTGCAGGGCTGCTCGTCTTTTCAGAATGGGTGATCTCACCACATACGGTTTTGGGACACCAGTACAGTTAAGAACAATGGCATGCAAGACTCACATACAGACCCACTTGTTATTATTATAGCTTTTTTTAATAGAAAATAAAGATTCTGACGTAAATACAAGCACTGAGCCCTCGCAAACACCCAAGAGCCAAGCATATTGGAAACTGTACAGCGGACGAACGACGCCTAAACTGACGGCGTTAATCAGTATGAGGGGCTTGTGAAGGTTAAAACCATTTCAACACAACAGCTGGCTTCTTTTCATATTCAGTAAGTCCTGTTTCCAGGACAGAATACATCTCATATGTATATTAATTCTTCTTCTACACCTTTTTACTAAAAATGTATGTGCTTTTGATTTAAAACTTGGAAAAAAGAAAATAAAGATTTGCAGTTTAACCACAATCCACCCCACTCTGGCCACATTTATTGCAAAAGAAGTGATAGGCTCTGAACAGCAACACACACTTCAATATGGCACAAGCATCTTAGAAATGATCTAAATGCATCATAGTGGGTGAATATCAAAAACCGAACCACACCATATCTAAAAATATTAAGACATTAATCATCAGTAGAGCAGAAAAGAAGAGAAGTTATCGTTCCTCGCTGAAACATGCAGTCTGCCGCTCTGAAGGCAAAACTCGACTCTGACCCTCCTGGAAAACACTAAAAACAAAGTAAAAAAAAAGAAACTTCATTCAAATGCATACGAACACTGCAAATGACTAGCTGCGCCAGTTATGTTGATATATTTCTTCTATTACTCATGGCAGGAGCTGCACAGTAAAACTTCAAAACTTGGGCCATTGCAGAATTGAGGATCTCTGGCGTTCTTCTCTTATTTAAGGGCTGGATGCTGATTCCTTCACCCGAGAAATGCACACTGGCCAGCAGAGTGAAGCATGTAGTGACTAAACTCACCCCTTCAGGTTAAATCTTAGACTCGTATGGCAGGAAACCTTCAGATAAATTCATTTTGGGGAAAACAAAACATGTAAAGCATTCATGAGGCTTCCTCTTCGCCTCCTTTCCAACTCACTTATCTAGCTTTGTGTGCCACCTTAACACATTTGATGTGCTTATCTTAGTGAATGTCAGCTTTGGCACCATCCCTGCTGAGGTACCCAACGACAAGTTTGTCAAGTACGGAAACTGCTGTTTGTTCCCACTGAGGATATTGTTGTTGCATTGTACTTTTATATACAGAGGCATATTTTTATCTTCAACGTCTCTGGAGTGTTAAGGAAAACATTTACACATGAAGGCATTCTCCAGCCCTTTCTCCGAGGCTCTGACATGGAAATCCCAACTAAATCCTTCTCAGCAGCCCCGTCTACCTGCTCACCATTAATCTCACAACACAATCTAAATAAATAGCATTTAAAATAAGGGTCAACTTGTAAATGAAAAACAAACTGAAGCAAAATCGATGTAGTGACCTCTTAGTGTAACAAACAACTCTGAAAACACAACGACTCCATTACCGTCCAGTCCTCAGTCAAATAAAGAAAGAGCCAAAGAAAGAAATATTACAGGGAAGAATATACCTAGAGTAGTGGTTGTTTTACAATGGCAACTATGTCGAGAGATCGACTGGGATTCAGTCTGTCATGTTGCACCTTCTTTAAAAACTACTTCCTCTTCCCCATCGCTCTTTATCTCTTCGCCCAGAGGTGATCATGCTCTGTCTGATCAAAGTCTGTGACCGTTAACCCTTGGCTCCCCTCCCTTGCCCTTCCCCTCCCATCAAACACTCCTCCTGCTCCTGCGCTCTGAGGGGGGATTGTTCAGTCGGCATAATGCATGATGGACTCTACATAGTTGCCAGGGAAGAGGCCCGTGGTCCCGTTCATCACACCCTCGAACCAGCCGTCGTCGTTCTTCTTGATCACGTAGATGATGGCCCCCTCCTGGAACGAAAGCTCGTCATCTTTGTCGCGAGTGTAGTCGTAGATGGCCACCACTGTGGAAAAATAGAAGCAGGAGACCGCTGCTAAAACAAGCCAACACAAATGTATCATATTCACACATCTTGAGCGTTGGAACCAACAATTAGCAGGAACCAACAACAAGTATGACCCACGTACGGAATGAGGCAAGTGATTTGCTACAGAGGTTAATAGTTTTTGAGGGATGGCATCTGGAACTGATCACAAATGGAGACACTGAACAGCATTATCATGAATCGGATGATGACTTTGACCCTGA